TTTGGCCACTCACAAAAATTCCAACAATACGATCGCATCCTACAATGTAGAAATCGGCAACGGTCCTGAATGTTCTGGGAGATGCCTCTTTAATTCTCCACAGAGACCAACCCGCTCTTCTGACCTCCTTGGGTGCCAGTGACAGACATGGTGCATATGCATACACGCAGGTAAAACATTCATTCACGGAAAATTAAACGGTATGCAGTTCAGATTCTTTTCCAGCATCAAATCATTTGGAGGACATGAAGTTGAGGCTCATCAAACAGCCGTATGCCTGTTCCACACTGGACATTGTGGAAACAGAAGATGGACTCGGCACATCTGCCAGGAATCAGCTCTGCCTCCCTCTGTGTGTGTGTGTGTGCATGTGTGCATACATATGTGTCCGTGTGTCTCTGTGTGCACATGGAAGCATGTGTACACATGTGTGTGTGCCATCATCCATAAGGATAAGAGTGTGTGTGTGTGTGTGTGTGTGTGTGTGTGTGTGTGTGTGTGGTGGCCAGATGTCAACCCTGAAACAGGGCCTCACAGAACCAGGAACTCTCTGATTCAACAGACTGACACCCAGTGAGTCTGAGATATCCTAGGTCAACCTCCCCAGGACTTTTACAGGCATGTACTCTCAGACCTGGCTTTTCTTTTTTTTCTTTCTTTGCAGATTTTTTTTTATTTGAATTACGAACAAGATTGTTTTACATGTCAATCCCAGTTTCCTCTCCCTCCCCTTTCCTCCCCACCTTCAACCCCCACCCCCACAACTAAAACCCTACCTATCACATATTCTTTCTGCTCCCCAGGAAGGGTGAGGCCTTCCATAGGGGGTCTTCAGAGTCTGTCATATCCTTTGGGATAGGGCTTAGGCCCACCCCCGTGTGTCTTGGCTCAGGGAGTATTCTTCTATGTTGATTGGGCTCCCAAAGTCCACACCTATGCTAGGGATAAGTACTGATCTATTACAGGAGGCCCCATAGATTTCCAAGGTCTCCTCAATGATACCCACGGTCATGGGGTCTGGATCAGTCCCATGCCGGTTTCCCAGCTATTAGTCTGGGGTCCATGAGCTCCCCCTCGTTCAGGTCAGCTGTTTCTGTGGGTTTCACCAGCCTGGTCTGTACCCCTTTGTTCATCACTCATCCTTCTCTGCATCTGGATTCCAATTCAGTTCGGTGTTTATCTGTGGGTGTCTGCTTCTACTTCCACCAGCTGCTGGATGAAGGCTATAGGATGGCATATAAGTCAGTCATCAATCTCATTATCAGGGGAGGGCATTTAAGGTAGCCTCTCCTCTGTTGCTTAGATTGTTAGCTGGTGTCATCTTTGTAGATTTCCAGGCATTTCCCTAGTGCCTGATTTCTCTGTAAACCTAAAATGTCTCCCTCTATTATGGTATCTCCTTTCCTGTTTCCTTCAATTCTTCCCCTGACTCAACCTTTCTGCTCCCTCATGTCCTCTGCATCCCTCCTCTTCTCCCCTTCTCATTCTCCTAGCTCCCTCCCACCTCCCCCATCAGACCTGGTTTTTCATGTGTGGTTAAGTACTCATGCTTTCCCTCGGGACCATTTCCCAGCCCTTCCTCAGGTTTCTGCATTTCTTACATGCTCCTGGTCCACAGACCCCCCTGCTTGAGCACAGACCTGCAAGCAAGGATATAAGCTAGACCAGGTAATCAGCAAAGAAAAAACTTTACATGGAGTGCAGGTGTGTGTGTGTGTGTGTGTGTGTGTGTGTGTGTAGGTGTGTAGGTGTGTGTGTGCGTGTACAGCGGGCAATTACTCTGACCAGGTAAGGTTGTTAAAGATACTCTGGAGAAGTAAGAGTGGGACTCTGAGGAGAAAAGTGACCAGTGAGCGCCTTCACCTTTTGTTGTATCTCTGAAAGCCCCAGGCAGCAGACCCCTAGTAACAGAATACAGTGCTTCAACTTGACGCACACAGGCCTGTCTGAGATCTACCCTGCACCCCAAGCTTCCCTAGGGACCTCTCAACCTGCTCACACTGGGTCAGGGCAGGAGACAGGAAACAAAATCTAGATTCCACCAACCATGAACTGAAATTATTTGTGGGAAGAAAAAAAAAAAAAAAAGCCTGCATCTGGTTTAAATGCAGACTTTTTTGTCATCGCTTCTGCACCACCACACAGTGACAGTGACAGTCCATATGTTGCGTGTTCTATCTTGTACAACAAGCAACCCTGAGATGGTTTACACCTGAGTGTGTGGGACAGTCTATGTGCTGTGCTGTACCAGCAAATATTGTATCATCTATGTGTCTCAAGCATCCTCATTGGGGGTGGGGGGGCACACAGTGTTCTTGGTAATAGATTTGTGTTTTGTGTTTCTTTTTGTTGGTTTGAAACAAGGTTTCACCATGTAGCTCTGGCTATCCTGGAACTCCATCTATAGACCAGGCTGGCCTTAAGCTCAGAGATCTGCCTGCCTCTGCCTCCTGAGTGCTGGGGTTAAAGTTGTGCATCACCACTCCTGGTCCTGTTTTGGGTTCCTTATTCTCCAAATCTTTAGATTGGGATTTTAAAAAATATATTATTGAGAATGGATACAGGAAACATGATCATATATACCATCTCCACTCTCCAAAACCCCGTATCCCACGCAACACACCCCCTCCCAACTTCATGCCTTTTTAAATAATCCACTGAGAACCATCAGCATTGACCACCTTAGACCAAGAAGTTTAATATTATTTATTTATTGGTTAAAACTTCAAGTTTTGCCAAACATCTTTCCCTTGAAGACCACAACAGCTACTTCATTTTTCTTTTCTCTTGAGACAAGGGGCCACTATGAATGTCTAACATGCAAATAGCTATATATCCCTGATTGGCCCTCACACTGCATTCGTTGTCTTGACTCTGCCTCCTGAGTGCTGACATTACAGGCAGGTACCTCCATGCCTGGCCACAAGAATTAGTTTAAGAAAAAAGAGAAGGAGGAGGAGGAGGAGGGGGAGGAGGAGGAGGAGGAGGAGGAGGAAGAAAGAAGGGAGGGAGGGAGGGAAGGAAGGAAGGAAGGAGGGAAGGAAGGAAGGAAAGCCACCAAGATGGGTCAGCAGGTAAAAGCAACGTTACTATGTCTGTCTACCTGAGTTCAATCTCTGGGATGTATATGGTATGCTGGAAGGAAGGACCGACCTCGGCGGGCTGTCGGTCACAACATGACATGCCTAAGTGTGTATTCTCTCTCTCTCTCTCTCTCTCTCTCTCTCTCTCTCTCTCGTTCTCACCTGTCCCTTTAACCTCTGCACACAGACACACACACACACAGACACACTCACTCACACACACTCACACACACACACACACATGCACACGCGCGCACACACACACAGAGACACACACACAGAGACACACACACTCACACACACACAGAGACACACACACACACATGTCCCTTTAACCTCTGCACACAGACACACACACACACAGACACACTCACTCACACACACTCACACACACACACACACATGCACACGCGCGCACACACACACAGAGACACACACACACAGACAGAGACACACACACACACACACACTCACACACACACACAGACACACACACTCACACACACACACACACACACACACTCACACTCACACTCACAGACACACACACTCACACACAGACACACACTCACACACACACACTCACACACACACTCACACACAGACACACAGACTCACACTCACACTCACAGACACACACACTCACACACAGACACACACTCACACACACAGACAGACACACATACACACACACACAGACACACACACACACACACAGACAGACACACACACTCACACACTCACACACACACACACACACACCAATGTAATTTAAGAAGAAAAGACAATTGAAAGAATTTTCTCTCCTACATTGACTTCATCCTCATCATTCTATCCAAAAAGGCACAGGGTCACCCAGGCCCTTTTTAGTACTTTTATTGTTGGACAGGCATTTACAACGTTCCATTCATAGACCTAAAAACATAAAAATAGACCTTTCAGCTTATAAAAGAAATATATAAGAACTTTTGACATAGACACATCATGACCTTATGTACAAGAGACAACGGCACCTCACTAAGCACCAGGCTTTCCAGTATTTCCAGCGGATGTGTTGCAGGGAGACTAGAAATGCGACAGTTCCACACCTCTGCTTCCGTTTCCCATCCGGACACAATCGACCCCGAGACAGTATGAACAATGTGGTGGTACAAAGGGTATAGAAACCATTCTAAAGCTTTTTAAGAAAACCAGAAGATATAGCAAAAACTTTAATAGAATAAAACTTTGAAAAGACCAAGCTCAAAGCCCTGGAAACCCGAAAGGGAGGAGGAAAGGGGACGGGAAGAGCAGGAAAGCAAGCGGGGGGCTGAGAGCGTCGTGTTCTGAACTCTATCTGGAAATATAAAGTCATAACTGATTCTTATAAAATATAATTGCTAAAGCGACTATAAAATTCAGGTCTTTAAAGTACCTACTGATGTATCAAACACCAAATAGATATATAGATATATATATATTTTATTTCCAAAAAGAAAGTTTTCATCTTATTTAAACCCTTCTTAGGGAATGGAATCATGAAAAGAGGAGGAAGGAGGAACACAAAGCTATAAACCTTTTTTTTTTTTTAAATGAAAGTGCTATAATGGGGTTTTGCCCTTCCTATTTGGACATCCACTTAGAAGATTAGGCCCCTAAGCAAGTTTACCCTGTTTTGTTGGCATGAAGTAAATGTTAGCCACAGAGGATGTGTTTGAAGAGGTTCCGAGATTTGGCCATGGACTGTCAGGGAAGGGTGAAATCACCTATGGATGAAGATGCAGTTTTGATGGGGAAAAAAAACAACGATCACCATGGCAACCCATGAGAAGGAGGCTCCCCTCCCTTGCCACACACACACCCTGCCCCATTCCCGGTCCCTGTAATCCAACCAAACTCCCATCTCAAATATAGATTCATACATTTAAAAAAAATCTGTTTCTCAGGAAAAAAATTTTATTCTTCGCATGAGCTTCTTGTTGGCCATTTATATATAAATATAAAGTCATCGTGCCTCACTCGCTCTGCAAAAGGTTATATATTCATCTTCAGACTGAGTTACACCTAACACTGTAAAATTCTCATCTCTTTGTGCCCCTGCATCTCAAGGAAAATACAAAAAATAGTGTTTCTTCTCTCTCTCTCTCTCTCTCTCTCTCTCTCTCTCTCTCTCTCTCTCTCTGATAAATCTGGATCTCTTTCCCAAGAGTTTGGCATCTTTATAATTCTCTGCAAAACTAGAGCTTTCGAACACTGACTGACATAGAGTAAGACCAGCTATAGACGTAAACAAAGGGAAAAATAATAGAAGGCTCATCAGAACAGAAGCAACCACCCTTTCCTCACAATTCTCAAAATACAGGTATGCTCAGACACTGAAGAGCGGGGAGTCCAAACACTGCAGGCTGTACAGATGTTTCCATTTGTCGTGTGTGTGTGTGTGTGTGTGTGTGTGTGTGTGTGTGTGTGTGTGTGTGAAGGTGGTTGTTCCCCAGCTGACAGACTGGATTCGGAGAGGAAGAGCTGTGGCATCTGTGTGTATGCTATCCTGTCCCTCTCATACTTTGCTTCGACTGCTGGGTTGGGAACAGTGTGGTTTCCAGTGCTATAGATTCTTTGTTCTAATTCTTCAGGCCCTGATGAACTGAGAATAAATAAAAGCCCTTGGTAATACACAGGCGGTAGGACTTGGGCTTAGTTAGTTGGGACTCTGAACAATTCTCTCTGATGTCATTAAGAATGATAAAGGTGGGTGGCTACATGGCTTCAGACCCGAGTCAGCTGCCAAAATCTGTGTGCAAGAGTGCAACCTAAGGGGACATTCTCGTGGACGGCACTGGGGGGTGGGGGGGAGTGTGTGAGCAGAGTGAGTGTGGGGCCAGCATCATATCTACACAGTCTCTAAAGAGACAGGGTCCTCAGATCTCAGTGTTCAGTTTCCTGGAGGGGGCAAAGTCTTCACGCCTAATCCAAATGACTTCCTCGCTTGCGCTCTCCAGGCCTCCATTGATGCCCGACAGGGCCGCTTGCTTCTTGAGCTGTGTCATGCGGGATGCGTGGCTATCAAGGGTCCTCCGTCCTCGGGCCCGCTGACTGATGGAGGCAGCCTGAAGCTGCTCCTGCAGGTCTCTGTCCACTGAGGCGCCCTTCAGGGACTCACAGAACTCGTCATCGTCACTGAGGATGTCTGTCTCCTTGATGTCACCCTGCTCCTCATACTGAGCAAGATCAAACTGTTCCTCTACCCAGCGGTCAGTGTCCCCACCACCGGGGGGCTGCTGGGGCTCTTTCTCCGGGCTGCTAGCCGAGACGGCATCGGAGTCAATGGTAAACCTGTTTCGAGCCAGTCGCCGCCGCCTCCTCCCAAGAGACTTGCTTGGGGCAGACACTGCACACACACACAAAAATATAAAAATAAACCCCCACATGCTTTACCATGAGATGAAAATCCAGCAAGCAAAGAAAAAAAAACATAAGAGGTAAATGGACTTCAGGAGTTTCAGGTCCAGCTCTTACCATCCTGGTGTCTACCTTGCTCAGATCTCTGAACTAAAGATGGTGCTATATGGACAGGCCCAGAGACTAAGGGGTGAGGGTCAACACTAGAGGCTGTAGGTTCTGGGGAAGAAAATAATCTACTCTGACCTGGGTACCCACAAGACAGGTGATATAGGTGCCTACTGCCCCACTCAACGTTGGATCAGCGACTGTCCTCAACACAACTGTGCCCGTGACACAGAGCTATGGATGTTCCCCAGGTTATTCCGGGGTCATTTAGCTATAATAGAGGTCTTTGGTAAACCCAGAGAGGTTCTAGGTTTTGCTGTCTGTGTAGAGACCACTGTGCTGTCTGGAGCACTGGGCTGTGACACTGCTTTCTTGGGGACTGAACAAAAGGTTTCTTGAGGACTTGCAGTTAGAGAGAGGGCACCACATTTTCATTGTATATGAAAACCCAGCTGCCAGAGACATGGCTACCAACCCACTTTTTTTTGTGCCCTTTCTATTAAGGTCCAATATGAACTCTGAGACTAAGCACGCGCGCACACACACACACACACACACACACACACACACACACGCGCGACTCCTAACCAAATGCTATCAATCGCCAGTTCTTCTACAGTGCAATTACAATACCAGCACCTGAGCAGAATGAGAAATAAATAATAGATACCACTCCAGCACTGGGGAACAAAGTGCCACAGAGAGCTACTGAAAGTTAAAACCTTTGTGTTTACTCATTTACCCCACTGTCCTCCAGGAAGTCGGGATTACTAAAAGCAAGCAAACCAATAGTGCAAGGAATGCTCCCAGCACACACACACACACACACACACACACACACACACACACACACTCTTGTAGAAACGATGCCACTTCTCCTGGATGAGTAAAGTGGCTGTTGTGTTGAGTACCCTGAGGTGAAATGCAACACAGGGTTCCCACAGAGTAAGCACCTCACACACCGGGTGGGAGCAGCTGTCCTGAAACCCAAGTCTGAAAAGCAATGAGACTGCTTCAGACGATGCCTGTTGTCACCACCCCAAGAGCTCCAGTAACTCCAAACACTGGACAAATGGACACTGCTCTTATTTAAAGGGGAAAGAGGACCAAATCCCAGTCAAAACAGGAGGAGATGAAAAACTACCTCTGCACAGGGACAAAAGTAAAAAACGTCTCTTCACTCTGAGCCTAACCCCTCTGGCGTACAGCCTGGCCTCCCCCCCCCCCCCCCCCCCCCCACCCCCCCAACACTTCACTACCGGCCTACCAGAAGACGTGTGTGACCTGCCTGATGGAGTACTTAGGAGCCAAGTGTGCCCGCGTCTGTACCTTTGAAATGTGTCAAAGTTAAGGTGGTACATACAGATGACAGAAGGGCAAGCAACAGTGAAAATACTGCAACATATTAATTACAGACAAACTCTTTTAGCTGCTACATGAGCACGTTTTTCATAAGGAAGCTGCAGAATATGAAAAAGTTTAACTCGGCCACTGGCTCAAGTAAGAGTGGGGGTGAGGCATTTGCCTGCTCCACGCTGCACACCGCGTAGAGTGCAGAACGAATCAGGGCTCGTCTGTCCTTTATGAAAAGGACACTTAGTCACCAGCTAGCATTAATGGGTCCCTCTCAGTCTCAGGGAGACAGTCTTTGCCTGAAGCCCCGAAGTGCCATTTTATAAATCATGGGACAGGGATACTAGATGATAGTGAATTACTTCAAAAGCAGAGGGAATAGAAATGGTTTTCAGCCAAAAAGGAGCCATCAGGCAGAAAAGACAAAAACAAAAACACCTTTCAATCAAACAAATTTAACAGGCTATGGTATCATGGCTTCTTGATATTCATAACAGTTTAGGACAGGGAGCGGGCCAGTTTTATTTCCAAGAACATCTCAGTGGAAAAACTTTGGTATATCCCATGGACAAAATGTGTGTGTGTGTGTGTGTGTGTGTGTGTGTGTGTGTGTGTGTGTGTGTGTGTGTGTGTGTGTTCTTTTTCTTTCTTTTTTTCAAATACACTTCTGAATTTAGATTCCTAAGTTAAAACAACCGAAGCCTAGCCATTAGTGGTTAGTGTCCCTGAGGTTGGAGCCTATTTCCCAATTAAATACCTCAGTAGGCAAAAACAGCACATAAAACACTTCAACAAATTTCTCTCTTGCTATAAAGTGATGAACTGATTTTTATAGGGGCACACCTTGAGAAACTGCATGACTCTCAGGCTATGTGGAGAACCTTGAAGTTTGGGGGTATTGGGTTACAGGCTTTCAGTCAGCATATCAACTGGCTGAAGAAGAGACTTAAGGTAGCCTCTGCCAACATCCATTACTTAAACTCAAGGTACCTAAAGAATGTAATAGCCTACATCAAGATACGGCATGCCTATGAATTCTTCAGTGAGCCACAGCTCTTCAAGGACCTCTGCAACGCAATTGACAACTGGTGGAAAGGTAATTGGGCCAAAGGTTAAAAAAAAAAATCTTTTTTTGTAAAATTAAAGGCAATTTCTTTCACTTGGACCCCTTCCTGAAAAATTCTGGGCAGCATCTTAGGAAAGGAGTGATTAGAATTAGGATGGCGTTAAGTCCGGTGTTAGGAAAATTATCAGTCTTCCTGGTATGGTCTGTGGCCATTTGCACATGGTAGCAATGGTGTTCCTCGAAGCTCCAGAGTCATGGGGTAAGTCCTCTTAGAGCATGACTGGGGACCAGTTAAACTCCTCATGCTTCTTTTCCAGTAGCAACTGAAACCTTCCCAAAATCAACACTGACACCAAAACTAACGTTGCGGGTACAAAGTGAGAGCAACATCCTCTGGTCTACCATGTCTGAGCATGGAATCCTCACTGAGAACAGGCCGTTCCGACCCTGCTCACACCTAGCTCACTGCTCACTGCTTATTCAACAAAGCTGCTGTCATGCATAGCGGAGGCTTTCATTCCATAAGCGGGCTAAGAGGACCCCTCCCATAAGAGGACAGCACTGGCTTGTTGGCTTGGCCAACAACAGAGGCGCTCACCAGCCAAAAGGAGGGCAGCAGGGAAAGGATGAGGAGGGGAAGGAGAACAAGTGAAGGGAAGAGTCCCCAGGACCCACCAAAAGGAGACAAGGCAATGAGCCTCACACTGTGGTGCAGTGTACCCTACAGTAGTCCCTAGAAGGCCACACCTAACTGCTGCTCCCTGGAGTCCTACAGCGGAGTTGGGCTGACGGGGATCTTGTAGGTCTGAATCCCCATAGTACCTGCCCTGCTCATGGCTGGCCTGGCACCTTTAAGCGCACACAATCTCTTGCCTCCGAAAGGGACATACTGCTGGGATGAGGGCAGGCTTTCCGTTTTCAGGAGCTGTCTTCTGTGTTTATCTCGGAGGATCGAATGCACAGCCTTCAGGAAATCCTTTCGGCTGTCTGGGGAGCTGTGAAAAGAAGAGTTACACAAGTTAGGAGACCGGTACTCAGCAAAGGGAATTGATAAATGCCGTCAGGTGCAGCCAAACAAATATCCTGAGTGCAAGAGTGAAAGAGGTGATGGTGAATGACTCAAATGTCTATGCTCAGCTGCCTTTTAGGGCAGAGATAAAATCACAATCTATCCCCCTTTGCAAATCGTCTTCTACAGCCAGTCCGGGACAGAATCTCACCAATGGGGAACAGACAATGGACAAAGGTGTTTTTCTACCAGGAAGTTGCCAAAATTGTGTTCTTTATTCTCAAGTCACAGTTTTACAGGTAAAATGTCACTAAGAAAAAGTGAATGACAAGACTGTTGCAGCTTTACAGCTCACCCTCAATGGCTACCCAGTGTGCTCACCCTCGATGGCTACCCCAGTGTGCTCACCTGATGGCTACCCCAGTGTGCACACCTGATGGCTACCACAGTGTGCTCACCCTCGATGGCTACCCCAGTGTGCTCACCCTCAATGGCTACCCCAGTGTGTTCACCCTCAATGGCTACCCCAGTGGGCTCACCCTTAATGGCTACCCAGTGTGCTCACCCTCAATGGCTACCCCAGTGTGCTTACCCTCAATGGCTACCCAGTGTGCTCACCCTTAATGGCTACCCAGTGTGCTCACCCTCAATGGCTACCCAGTGTGCTCACCTGATGGCTACCCCAGTGTGATCACACTCAATGGCTACCCCAGTGTGCTCACCTCAATGGCTATTCCAATGTGCTCACCCAATGGCTACCCCAGTGGGGTCACACTCAATGGCTACCCAGTGTGCTTGCTCTCACCTGTTAAACAGCAACCCCTCCCATGGCCTGACCCACACATTAAGTATTAAGGCTAGATTCTTAACAACTATCAACCTTCTAAGTCCTAATTCTCATGGCAGAAAAATATCTTCTAGGCGAGAAGTTCAGCGTGTGTGTGTGGCATACACATAACATTTTCATGCACACACACACACACACAAGCACACACACACTTTATTATTTTAAATAATGCATAGCAGACTACTACAACATGGGAAGTATTAGATAATAAATGCTGAGTTAATGACTGAGTACTCATGATTAATTAAATATGGATCATATTTAAAGCTAAATAGGATGGCACCTGCCATTTTTATATTCATAGAGGAAAAGACAGAAAGAGGAGTGGAATAACTAATGATCACAATAAATAAAAGAAACCCACATTACAAGTATTCAGAATCTGCCTGTGGTCCACAGAGGCTGACGTCCCTGCACTGAAGGTTGTCTAAAGGTGAAGAACACTAGGGAGGCTCTGCCCCACCCTCATTCAGCAGACTCTCAGAGATGTGCAAACAATGTACCCAAGTAGCAGACGAGCACCCCAGGCAACCCCACCCGTCACCCTCCACAGAGAGTAAAGACAGGAAGGGGAAGAATGTCCTCTTCAGAGTGCTCAACACGTCTGAAAAACCTGTTTCTTTCAGAAGGCTGGTAACAGAACTGGGCTCCTGTCTGCAGTCTACTGAAGTGGTTTTCCTTTACACAACCACTATTATTGGTGAGCGCTGACTCCCTGGAGGAGGCAGGGGCTGCCCTGCAGTACAGACGGAAGGAGGACAGTCCCCCGGCCGGGGCTTGCCTTCCCAGAACCTGGCTCACCTGCAGCAGAGGTGAAAGACCCGCTCTGGCCTCCCTTCGGATTCTGACTTCACGTGGACAATTTCACATACCGCGTTTGCCTCTGCGTCTAGATAAGTTACAATAATGTCAGGTTAGGCACATTTTAGTAGACTTATTTACATTTTTCACAGATGAATTTCTCATGCTTGGTATCTGCTCCAACAGTGCAAAACAGCCTGAGACCAACGTCACCTTACTCCAATCCTGAGTTAAAGAGACAGGCCCTAGAAGATCAGTGAGTGCTGTAAAAACAACAAAAAACAACAACAAAATAAAAATAAAAATAAAGAAACAATACAGAAGGGGCTAGAGAGATGGTGAGGTGGCTAAGAGCTTGAGGATCTCGCAGAAGACCGGAGGAAAATTCCCAACACATCAGGTGACTTATAACCACCTGTAACTCCAGCTCCAAGGAACTTGATGCCCTCTTCTGGCCTCTGCAAGTACCCTACACCTGCACGCGTGCCCACACACACACACACACACACACCAGCGTATATATGTGGACACACACACGTAAAACATAAAATAAATCTTAAAAAAATACTGTGAAAATCCTCTAACTGGTCTAAAAGAACAGTTTTCAACCTGTGGGTCACAGCCCCTTTGGGATCTAAAGAACCTTTCACAGGGGTCATCTAAGACTATCGGAGAACACATATATTTACATTATAATTCATAACAGCAGGAAAATCAGAGTTATGAAGTAGCAATGAAAATAATTTTATGCTTGGGGATCACCACAACAGGAGAAACTGTGTTCAAGGGTTGCAGTGTTAGGAAGGTTGAGAACCACTGTTCTAAAAGTGGTTCTAATTCACACCGAACTATTTCAGTTAGGTGGTAACTTCTTCCAGACTAAACAGTACCTAGGACTCCAGTGCATGCCTTCATCAGGCCAAGGGCACAAGGAGGCCAGCACTGGCGTATGGTTTGGGAGTCTTCTCCTCACATGACTAGGCGATTTAAACAGACTCCACTCCTAACCACCTCACCATGTCCACTGAAAAGCAAAAGTATGATAGGAAAGTAAGAAACTGCTCGGTGTTTTTTAAAGATATCATTTAACATTCATGAATTTATTGTGAACACACACACACACACACACACACACACACACACACACACCTATGCACACAAGCGCACCTGCAAGTGAAAGCCAGAGAACAACTTGTGAGATTCTGTTCTCTCCTTCCACCATGTGAGTCCTGGGGATCAAACTCAGATCATCAGAGTTGGCAGTGAGCGCCTTTACCCAAAGAGCCAGCTACTGTTGGTTGAACTCATGGTGCCGAACCCGTGGATGGAGAGGGCCAGCTCTACTGGCTGATGCTCTGCCCTGCCAACAGTGCTGCACTGAGTTAAGTCAAGAGTAAAGTGTTCGTGAAAGGAGCCGTTCACTGAAGGCACTTACACACCTCCAGGTCGGTCTCACCCAGTGGCTCAGAAGCCTGGCCACCAACCCTGCCCTGTGACTCCATCAGCTAACTCTCCATCTGCCGAAATTCCCCAAACTAAGACAACAATCTGAAAACTCCAAGCACTGATTCTTGAATCCCCTGGAATGTAACTCATAATGTAACATTGTGACCAGTCTTTTTAATTCAATTAAAATATGCTTTTATCCAGAAGGCTTTAAATTTGATTTGAATGAAAAACAGAGGCTGGGAGAAAGAAATGTCATTATCACAAAGACTGCTTTGTTTTCAGAATGTCTTTATGTGTCTGGTACTTAATTAAGGCAAAATTCCTAGCTAAGAAAGAAGCCTACAGTTTGCCACAGAAACCAACCTCCACATTTATAAGCCTGGTATGAGAAAATATGATCAGATAACTCCTAAGTCTATGGCATTAAAAATACAGACACCAGGGGCTGGGGAGATGGCTCATAGGTTAAGAGACCCAACTGCTCCTCCAGGGGACCCAGCTTCATGTCCCAGCACCCATATGGCAGCTCCCAGCTGTAACTCCAGTTCCAGGGGACCTGACGCCCTCTTCTGACTTATGCGAGCACTACACACACACGGTGTACAGAATACAGGCAAATAAAACTCCAATACATAAAACAACTTTTAAAAGGAGACTGCTATAGCACTTAAGTGTCTAAGCCTCAAAATACCATCACAGCTGCTATAGACCTATGATCCAAAAGCATCTGCAAATTTACCTGTAAATCAAGTCTGGGGAGCAAACCACCCCGAATCCCTTAGAACTAGCTAATAAAGCTGTTTAAAAAGATGTAGTGCAATGAACACAGAGACAGGAGGCGCCCACAAGCCCCTACCCCTAGCTGAGCAGCTACGAGAGCCCACCTTCTGGGAGAAGAAGAGACAGTTCTCTTTAAGGATGTGAACCTTGGCAGGTCCACCATGTCCTAGTAGATGGCCCCAGGCTCGTGCGTATATAGGCAATGCAAACTGGACTTGGTAGGTTACTGGGTTGTTTTGGTGGGTTTTTTTTTAAGAGGGAAGGAAGTTGGGATGGGGTAGTGGGGGTAGATCTGGGGATAGATGGAGGGATGTGAATATAGCCAAAATATATAGTATTAAGTTCTTGAAGACTTAATAAAAGGGGCCTAGGGAGACAGCTCAGCAGTTAAGAGCACTTGTTGCTCTTGCAAGAGGACCCAGCACCCACATGGTGTAAGGGTCTCTCTGATCACGCCTCCTGGGTCTGGCTGTGGCCAGGTACACCTGTAGTCAGCCCCAGGAGGCGTGGTCAGAGAGACCCCTACACACATGGTGGTTCACAAACATCTGTAACTCAGGTTCCAGAATATCTAATGCCTTCTTCTCATCTCCAAAGGCACCACCAGGCACACGGATGGTGCACATACATACATACATGCAAGCAGAACACTCATGCACATACAGTAAATCCTTGAGAAAATTAATAAATCTACACATAGTTTTATTTTCTATTCATGTATGAGGCAATGGAGATGGAGGGAAGAGTTAGTTTAGCGTAGAAGGTAAAATACGGGCTGGCAGTCCCAGAATGCGCATACAAGCAACTCACATGCCAGGCCACATGATGGCTTAGCAGGTAAAGGTGCCTGCTGCCAATCTGGGTGACGTTTGGGTTCCACGTGGTACAGGAAGAGAACCAACCGCTACAAGTTGTCCTCTTACCTCCCCAGAAGTGACATGGCACATATGTGACAGCATGCATGCATGCGCACACATACACACACACACACGCACGCACGCACGCACGCACGCACGCCCCTCTAATAGAAAGGAGAAGAAATGGAAACTTGGTACACATTGGGCTCACCTGCAGTTGGCAGAGCTCGCACTTGCAAAGCTTCCGTAGGGATCATGTGGCGAAACCGGAAAGGGTCCCACTCCTCGTAGACTGACAGCCTGTGAGAGCCAACCTGCCAGAGAGAGGCAGCCCACTGTTTTAGAGCAAGGTCATCCACCTGGACCAGCTCCCCACACTTTCCACACCATTGTAGACTCAGAAACTCAGTGCATCGGTGCCAGCCAGAGGAACATCACATCCCCTGCTTGCACTCTGGGTTTCACTGGCAGATGTGAGAGACTGAGTGATCCGTGAGATGCCATGCAAATGGCTTTGCTAATTACATGCTGAGGGGATCGGGGGTGGGGGTCTCATACAAAAATGAGGGCACTAGAGAAGGGCAGGAGTGGCGATAGGAGGAAGCCTGTCTGCTGGGAGGAGGCCAGTCAGGACCCCCCTGGAGGGTTAGAAACACTTATAAAGGAGAGAAGAGGCTTTGCTGACTGGTAGAACTATGCAGACACAACCAAGAAGTAGACAGAGGCACAGGAAAACGACAGGGTGAAGCAGGAATACTTACAAGCTTCTTCTTCTGCTTGGAGCCATCTTTATACACAAGGACCACGGCCGTTTTGAAGACTGCAAGTGAAAGATAATAAGAGCGGTTATGCCATGAAATGTGTGGTCTTCCCCATGCCCCAACTCTGCTAACTTAGGGCAGTACTGTACTGCTACAGTTACGAGAGCATGGAGATCCCCGGGGTGGACTGCCAGCCACCTTGACCTTATTTACAACACCTGAAAGGCAAAGCTTGCTGGGAAAGACATTCCTGTCTTTAATCTAAGTAGAGAGCGCCTAAATAAATGAAAATACCCTCCTCTACCCCCCTCCAAAAGGTGTGTTTTAGCTTGTTATTTTAAGGTTATATATAACTCAGCTGGGCTAACTATAGTAGCTGGAGGACCAGGACAAATGCCTCTAATAACTGCTGAAGGTGATTTGCATTTATGAAAATTAAGTCCCCCTTTGCCTCTACTCACTGTATCTCTAACCCAGTGCTCTTAGTTCAGGAAATAAAATTCACCTTTCTGACCTCAGGAAATGAAAATGAGATAATGAAATGCAATGTAACCCCATTTCTTCCAACAGAGTAAACAGGGTGGGAAGGCATGGTAGAGTTATGTATAGCCTTCCTTCCAGAGAATTCCTTAAGCAATGCCAGGCATGGTCAATATGGCAGGGATCTACCTGAAAGGAGACACAGGGTTGGCATCTGGAAGGGAATGGAAACGTGATTCTAGTCCATCCCTGGTCCTTTGTGTCAGTCTCTGCCACAGTCTAAATGTCTGTTTCTCCCAAAATCCCGGTGTTGACAACTAATCCCAGACTGTGGTGGCTTGAATGAGAAATGGTCCCCGCAGGCTTGGGTAGTGAAACACTTAGTGCTCAGCGGGCTGTTCTATTTGGGTGGGTTACGAAAGCCGTAGGAGATGGAGTCTTGCTGGAGGAAGTACGTTACTGGGGAAGACTCCAGCAGTCACAGCCTTGCCCCATCTCCAGTTTCCTCCCCCTGCTTCCTGGACATGGCTGAAGATGTGATCTCTCAGCTCTGCTGTGACTTGTCTGCTGCCATGCTCTCTCCGCCACAACAGACTCTCCCTCTGGAACCACACTCCAAAATGAACTCTTCCTTCTGTGAGCTGCCTTGGTCGTGGTGTTTCACCACAGCCACAGAAAAGGAACTACTACCCTGATGGGCTGGCTTGAGAAGCAGGTGCTCTGGGAAGTGACGGGCACAGGATTGGCCACTGTGAGTAAAGTCAGTGCTCTGGTAAGAGAGGCTCAGGAGCTGTTCTGGCTTCTCTGACATGTATGTGAACATAGACAGAAGGCATGTGAAAAGCGGGATCTGGTACCCCAGACTCTGCTGTCACAACATCCCAAGAAAGTTTCATTCTCTGAGCCAGATATGTGGCAGCTGGAGGAGACACAGACTGGTATGTCAGGCATGAATATTGTCAGGCACGGGCTCTGACCCTCTGGAGACCACCACGAAGTACTTGGCTTACTTAACAACTTGCTTAGGGTAGGACAGGCTTCCTCCGTCTGCAGGAACACTTCCGCCTGCCTCTTGTATACTCTACGATATGGCTTAAAACCTTGAGCCCTAGGATCCCTGGCATCCCTTGCCAGCCTAGAACAAAACTATTTCTGTGTTTGTGTTTTATGTTGGTGGTCACTAACAGTCAGTACACGAGGCCCATCTTGTGAGGCAAGGTGCTGCTGGCAGCAAGCCAATATCCATTTTGGAAGAATGCTACACTATGTCCTAAGACTAGAGTTTTAAATCAAAACAAAAGGACAGCCAGGCTGTCATCCAAAGCTGCCTGTTCAACAGTGTTGCTGCACAGCAACGCTTCCTCACTTAACAAGGCGTTCCCAGTTAGTTCTGCCTAGCTACTTGAAATCAAAAGGACTGTCGCAGATGTCCCCTCTAGTGAACTTATCCAGGACTCATCCTAACACTGCTCCCCACCACAGTCAGACTTTTTCATGATCCTTATTTTAATTCCTCCTCATCTCTCTTTACTGTTACTCTGAGTAATGGTGAGCTGGCCTCTAATCACAGAGCCTTTCAAAGGTTACGTCCCACAAACCAAAGCCCCAATGAAGTCACTGAGCTGGGGCAAGCAGCATGTGTTTGTTTATAGCTGGGCCAAATGTGCTAGGCTTGGCCTCTCTGGATCAGCTACCTGACACTGTCCCCTGTGCATAGCCAAGGAAACAAGGAGCAGGGGATACAGAGTACTCCCTGAGCCTACAGGACAAGGGTCAGGCATGTCCCATACATTACAAGTGACATCTTCGAGACCACCTTCCTGCTGCCTCTGTGGGGTAACACGGCTGCTGCCTGTGCATCTGTATCACCGACAGGAGCTTTTGGCTATTCCACCAAATATCCAACATTCTTCTTGGTCCAGGAGCTAAGAGTTCTATACAGCTTCCAACAGAAAAGTCTGCCAACATCTTACTTTCTCCTACTCAAACTATTCTCAGTTTTTAAATCTCTTTGTTTCTAACTCTGTGACATCAATGTTGCACCCTGGAGCTCCAAGACTGAAGCCGACGGTCAGTGCCCCGCCACCCATAAGCTACAGTAAGGCGCAGCAGAGACTGGGGGGGGGGGGGGGGGGGAGAGATATCCTCTCTAAGTCTCAGGAACACAGAGGTGATGTGAAAAGGAAGCAAGCCCTACTGGCTCCCAACTCCACAAAGCACCTCAGGGCTTCCTGATGCTGCATTCGGTCCCGTTTTCTCACCACATGGGTGTTTGTTTACTGTGGTTATTTTTAGTGCAATGTCTTCAGTGCTCCTTAGAAATTTAGGACTATCACTAATTCCTTAGTGAGAATGAAGAGGCAGAGCCAGTAAATATTCCTGGGCAGTTCCATTTGGGAATTATACCGTGCAAAACACGAATATGCGGTTAAAGAAGCACTAAGCAGCGCTTCCCTCTCAAGCAAACAATGACAGGTGAAGCACGTCACAGCTCAGTGTCCTAGCCTGAGCCTTTTAGGGAAGGCCGGGGATAAAACAGAAGCAGGGCTGTTAGCCACTTCATGCTCAGGGACAACCCTGCAAGAGACATATTCACGCCTACACTGCCGGCCACAGCTGAGCCTCCTGAACAATGCACGCTGCTTCCCAGCACAGAAGCTTAGGGTTCCTCCCTCAAAAGCATAGGAGACCTCCACCTGCACCCCTTAAAACAGTCTATCAAAACGATGAAAATCTCGTCTACTCTTACTGACATTCACAGCATGACTGAGCTGTCCCTTACAACCCATGGGGACATGAGTCACAACAACAGTTCACCTGAGAAATGGCCTCCTAAACTGTGGCATTCCATAAAAGCAGGGCAGAACCAGGGAAATGAAAGACCAGGATCTGGGGTCTCGGAAAGAGTTTTCTCTACATTTTTCATTTGACTTTTCTTCATTTATTGTCAAATCCACTAAAGACACCTGGACTTGCAGATAAAATTATTCTTAAAATGTTAAAAAAAAAAAAGATCCCTGCCCGTGAAATCCTTAAAGCCATGGCCACCCAGCCGCCGAGTGGCCACCACACTGAACCCATTCAGCGAGAAGGCTTAATTTATATTTGCTTATATTTATTTGGAAGAATTAGTGGCTGGAGCAGTAAGCTATAATTAGCTTCATTATAATAAACCATCTCTTGGAGAATAAGTCAGCTGTTTCCCATCCTCTTCCGACACATACCAAAGGCTGCCAACTCTGGCTCCTTCTTCCACTTTCCCAGCGAGGCGGGCGGGTTCAGCCAGATGACGGTGGTGTGCAGCAGCAGGTCACCCATGCTGAGATCTGCGACCTGCAAATCAGAGGCATGGCAAGCTTTCAGAGTGTGTGATCCACACAGAGGTTTTCAGGCAGTTTTAAAACACGTTAGCCCGCTGTCAACTACAGTTCATGAAATTATTGCTCCTAAAAAACACTGGCTTAGTATGGACACATAAATATGGCTAGACAGCTTTATGTGGTCATTCCACAGTGTGTATCAATCAGAATATCATGCTGTGTGCTACAAACAGATGGCTTGGACTTGCCAGGGTTTGACCTAATGTCTCAACTTGCAGTGAGCTTGTTGAGCAATTAAATATATTTTTGATTTAGACGTTTCTAAGTGAACATAGGTTTGCCAGGATATAATCTCACTTTAAGTTAGAAACAACCAACACAACATTTATTTATTAATATACATGAAGAAAATGTAAAAGTAACATAGAAAAGCACACACCACATTTTAAAGACACGTTCTTTGTGTCAGTAAACACCATCCCCCACTTGAAGATGAATATCATAAAACCTAGCCAAAAAATGTCATTACATTCATTGCCTTGTTTGACCTGGACACAGTGTGATGAAATTTTAATGAAAAAAATCTGTTAATTCATATGACATGTCCAAATTTGAATAGAAATCCTCGAGATTACCAAAAACCACACGAGATGCACAAAACAAGTTCTTGTTTTTTCCTTTGTTCTATGTTTGTCCTATCCAAATTTTATGAATGAGGTAACAAAAGGGTTTAAGCCAGGATTAAATCCAGCCTATAAAATTAAGGTTCTTATGTCTAATGAAAGAAATGTCTCAAGGAGAACTAATGGTATTGGTGGTGAATGACAAATGTCCACCGGAAAACCCAGATAGTTACACAGTGAGTTTAGTCTTCAGGAGGAGTGAATCCAATGAGTCTCCTTTTCCCAATTCATCAAAGAAAACCTTATTTCACTTTAGAAGGGGAAAAGCCAAATCAGAAGTCTGGAGATTTCTTGCTAGACACATGTGGAATGGACAAGGAGCTCCTCAGAGACCAAGTGGTCAAACACTAATCTTGCTCTCTTCAAAGTCAAGTAGCAAACACTCAGACATAGGGTTTAGTTTTAGACTCTAACCAGAAATGCTAAACCAAGGAGGCCAGTGGTAGCCTTGTGTTCACACCTGACAACACCACAAGTTGCCAGGGGTTAAAGAAGACCTGACATCATTCCATGGGAAACCCCCCACGAGGAGACAGCCACACACTTTATCCTAAGAATACAATGAGACCTCACCCCAGCCCTCCTCATCCTTCCTGAGACTCCACACATCCAGAGCACCCAAACCCCATGTGCCCCTTGCCCATGTATCACAAGTAGCCATCTTGACTATCAGATCAACTGTCATGGTATCACAATATTTGGTTTACTTAATAATGGCTCCAAAGCCCAAGAGCAGTGGCTTCTATTAGTTCTGATATAAAAACCCAGTGTGCTTCTTCCCCAGTCACAAGACAAAGGATTTCAACTTAACCAGGGTGGGGGTGTGGGAGAGGGAGGGGGGATCACAGCTCAACTATCCAGGAAGCTGAGAAGAAAGAAAACTTCATTCTAGTGCTGCTGGCAGGGCAGGCTGCAAAGGTGTGGCCACCAGGTGTGGCAAGTGCACAGCTACGGTAGAAAAGGTGTAAACTGGTGTGTGTGTGTGTGTGTGTGTGTGTGTGTGTGTGTGTGTGTGTGTGTGTGTAGGTCAATTTACCTCAGTATTGCCAATGTTTTTTCATCCAGTGTCACACGGGAACAACTTTTGATTCACTCTAACCCTTTCTTAGGTGTGTGTGGCCCTGTGGGGCAGGGTTTTGGGTACATGGAAGAGAACTTTTGCCACTGGGAACCAGCATCCACCTACCAATCTTTTATCAACCACCAACTATGTGGCTGGGACTAGATAAACATTAGATATTCCAATCTGAGGACTCAGAGTCACCTTCCATGGCATTCACAGGAACAGCCCAGACTGGGTAAGGACACACAACTCTACATGCAGTGTGGGTTAAAATTGGAGACCCCAAAGGCAAAGGGCAGAGCATCAGAAATATGTTTGCTGTGCCTAGAAAAAGCTCTGGTGAAAATAAAAATTCATGGTTAGCCTTGAGCAATTCAATGCGCAGGAGGCAGACCCCAGGGTACACCTGTGAAGGGTGGTCTAGGTGAAGGCTGGCCTCAAAGACTGCCTGGGTGGGATTATCTTAATTGCCTTGGGGAGGTTCACCTTAATCATGGGTAGGGGTAGAAGACAAGTTCACCGCCAGCATGCGGGCACTACTCTCTCTGACAACACAATGCGACGGGCTCCTTCACACTTCTGCCACAGTGACTTCCCCGCCATAGTGGACTTAACCCTGAACTGTGAGACAACTTAAGGCCCCCTTTTAAGTGCTGTGGCCTGAGGATTTTACCAAAGCAACAGGAAAAGAACCTAACATACATGGGCTTCAAAGGCAAGATTCCTACTGCTGTGCATCGGTTTCCTCAAGATTCGAAACGTTCCATCTCTCAGGAAGAGTCTCAAGGCAAAAGGTAAACAATTCGTTCACGGGAGGATGGTAGAGAGAGGGAACTGGGATTGATATGTGAAATAACATTGTTTCTAATTTAAATAAGATATTTTAAAAGGCTTCAGGAAGTCCCTGAAACCAACCAGATTTACTAGACCCCTCCCTCCAGAGTAGGTAATAATGGCAGCCAAGAGTCACTCCCAGACCAGAGCAGCTGCCTGGAAGAGGCAAAAACCAGTCAAGCTACCCAGAAGACTTTTAGACCAGAGTCACTGTGAAGAACATTCTACAACATGCTGAGCTGCCTGAAGGCTGTGCAGTGTGCTCCAGGTTCCCAGCTTTGTGAGCTTTGTCACCCATGCTGAGGTGGGCTTTGGAAACACAGCTGTCTTTGACTCATTTCTGCTCCTGTAAGTGACCGCTCACCCATATTCCTGTAAGAAACCCCAATAAAACTCATCGGTTCACCAAGTGGACTTGGATGGCATCCGTACTTTGGGTCTGTGGTGGGATGCTTGTCCGGGGTGAGTGGACAAGTGTGTGCTGCATCTCCCCAAGGAAAAGTCTTGCTGCACAACACCCGCCAGAGAAAACCATCATACCTCATAAAGAGAGGGCATCGAGGGTGGGGGAGGGGGGCCGCCTCACCTCTTTCTTCTCTCCTGTCTGCTCAGCAATCAGCTGGTCAAACACAGCCCCAAACTCTTCGTGGATCTTCTGCATCTCATTGATGTGACTGGCAACCTTGTTCATGGTCTTGATGGCCACTAGAAGAACACAGGCATTGGAAGGGGCTGTGCAGAGGCCAGGCTGGGTGGGGCAGGTGCAGTTGGGGTGTGGAGAGGCTGGGGGGGGGGGCCTCACCATCCAGGTGGTAGTGCTCTTCACTCTCGGCATCAGTCAGTGCAAACAGCTCCCTGAGCAGAAGCGGGTACTTGAGGACCCTCTGGATGGGCTTGATGAGGTAAGACTCCAGGGTGGATGAGTGCTGCTGCCTTGGGTTCTGGGCATCCAGGAACGCCTTGAAGGCCGTGTCTGTCCTGGCTGGAAGGGACAGAACACAGACCATCAGGGAGGCACGTCCCAGTGGCTCCCCCTTGCCTCCTGTCTCACACTGGCTCTAACGCAAGGCTTCTTTTTACAGGACTGGGCACAGCAGGCCCCGGGGAGAGGGAGGAGGTCTCTGCTGAGGCACACACAGGATAGGCCTGTCAGTCATGTGTGTGTTTGATGGGCAGGCACGCTAGTCACACTCCTCAAACTGAGTGTGTTTTTCCATTCTGACATTTTGACTCTTTCTTACTTTCCTTGGGGATGCTGCTCTTTCCAGGCCCAGGCAACTCCTAAAGATAGCAAATGATTTGCCTGCAAGAATCAATTCAGAGAGTACCTCTCCCACACCTATGAGTTTTAGCAGGTGCTGACACTCTGGGTCCCCAACTGCTATGTTCATCGCCTGGGGGGGGGGCAGATGTCACACCTCTCAGCTTCTGCCACACCCCAGAGCTGGCATGCTATTGTCTGTCTCCTAAACAATCTCAATGCTTCCCCAAGGGGCCCCGCATGGCTGTCTCCTCCTCCTGGGACCCATGAATGACAAACGATGGCTGTCATCTGAGCTGCCAGCACTGTCACACAGGATAATCATAACACCAGATGAAACCTCCGCCTGGCTCCCAAGCCTCCAAGCACTTCATTGCTGGGAGCAACTTTTTAAACAGGCAGGAAGAAACCAGAAACAGCACCCTGCAGCCGCATTAAGTGGAGTGAGGCCAGAAACCTCAGAACCATCTGCTCAGTGTCAGCTTGGTGCTACCAGCTGTTAGCATCTGGATGGTGTGGAGCTGACCCAACAGAGCTCAGAGCACTTCAGTGCAAGCGCCTTCTCCCCAGCCTCGCCCTCATCTGTGTTCCAGCTGTCATGGCAAGTGGCCCAGGGGAACAGTGGAAAGAGGGGCCCACCAGGATGACTGGGGAGATGGACAATGCCTTCCAGGTGCAGGGTAATGCCGGAGAAAGGGGAATACGTGAAAAGGGAGGGGTGGTAAGCACAAGTGACTTCACAGTGGACATCTGCTGTGTTCGGGCTGCTGTGGAATTGGGCAGTGCTGGTAAGGTGGCTGCCCCAATGCAGGCCTGCAAGATGAAGAGCGAGCCCCTTCCTCCATACCCCGCCTTGCATGTCTCTGCTGTCTGGCTGTTTTGGAGTTGCAGGCATCAGATCTAATCGGTACACAAACATCATCATGATTGCTGGGACCAACTCATTCCTCACACTCAGAGCCTACATATTCACCAGGATTACGTTTGTCCCTCAGAAAGTAGACCGAGCCCTCCCTTGGACTTCGATTCTTCATAACAGCACCCAGTCTGTCAGAGGAACCTGATGATGGTCCATGAATAAATGCGGTTTGGTTATTCACCTTTTAAAAACGTATCTCCACCCCAAGTGGTCACAGTGTTTGTTACATGATACTGGAGATGCCATGTAAGGGCATCATGAAATGCTGAGTCCTTCTGCCTTGGAACAGTAAGAAAAGCAGTGACCCCAGGAGAAGAGCTCACATGGCCACAGCTTTGGAGTGGCTTGAAAACCCATTAGGAAGAATTGAGCTGGGCGCAGCACCTACACCCTACATCTCAGCACTTGGGGGCAGAGGCAGGAGAGTCTCTGTGAGTTCAAGGTCAGACTGGTCTACATGGCAAGTTCCAGGTTAGAGAGTACTACAGAGTGAGGGTCCCTGACAAAAGAAGAGGAGGAAGGAGAGGGAGAGGGGAGGAGGGGGAGAGGGGAGGAGAGGGAGAGGAGGGGGAAAAGAGAGGGAAGAGGGGAGAGGATGGCAGAGAGGAGGAGAGGGAGAGGAGTGGGGGGAGGGGGAGAGGGAGAGGAGTTGGGGAGGAGGAGAGGGAGAGTAGGGGGGAGGGGGAGAGGAGTGGGGGGAATTGGAGGTATTTGATTCCACAGGTTCAGCTCATGATTTTCCTTTCAAAAAGAAAAAAAAATCTTGAAGGAAAAGGACATGGGGACAGTAACCTACACATGCTAGGGAAGCTGGGCTAGCGCTGTAGCTGACACATGGACAATACTGACTTCTAATGTCCAGACTCCCACGTGCAAACATGGAGCTGTTGGTCACTGTGTGTTTTGAAAGAAAAATGCCCCCCCTGGGAGTGGCACTATTAGCAGGTGTGACTTTGTTGGAGAAGGTGTGGCCTTGTTGGAGGAAGTGTGTCACTGTGGGGGCAGGCTTTGAGGTCTCATATATGCCCAAGCCATGCCCAGTGTCTCAGTCCACTTCTTGTTGCCTTCTGATCAAGATGTAGCCACCACCATGTCCCACCATGATGACAATGGACTAAACCTCTGAAACTGTAAGTCAGCCCAATTAAATGTTTTCCTTTATAAGAGTTACCATGGTCATGGTGTCCCTTCACAGTGACAGAACCCCTAACTGAGATAGTCACTAAGTCATGAAGTGCATTCCCTATGAGGGAGAAGCAGGCTCTCAGAGCACAGTGTAGACCTCCTATCCAGCCCACCTCACTCTGCTAAGCATGGCAGACACACACTCTGGTTCCCAAAAGCCCTCCAGCTCACTTGACAACTAAATAAATGTACGCCAAACCTACTGTTTTATGGGACAATTTGGAGTGATGGTATAATATTTTTCAGATGCAAAAACTAATGTTGTTGAATTAAGAAAAAAATCTACAGAGGCAAATTTAATCTAATTGAGTGATTAAAAAAGTAATAATTGCTTGAAGGAATATAATGCATGTATAACTTCACTACAGAGCAAATAATTCTATGTTTATTTTAGTAATCAGATAATGACTAGCAATCAGTAAGAGTCTTAAAACACACACACACAGAGCCAACACACGTGTGACAACGTGGATTAAGATCACACAGCATGGCATGGAAATTCTCAGAACCCCGCTGCACAGACTAGCACTCCTCACATTATCTGGGGCAGAGTCTTTTGTTGTCCAAGAACCTGCCTTATTCTAGTATTTTCTGACACTGCTCTTCGCTTAAGTTAGCTCTCTTGGTAGCAAACACAAACACAAGGTATGGAAATTATTCAACCAGGGACTTGATGAGAAATGTTTTCCGGGCAGCAGTGGAGGAAGAGCACACGCATTTCCAGAGACCGAAGCCAAACCTTGTACTGATGCAGTCTTCCAAAGAAACACTTCTCCAGCACCCCTGGGAGGGGCTGTGTCACAGTGTGGCTAATACACAGAGCATGTATTACACTGACTTGTGAAAACTTTCAGACTAAACTGAATTGGGCTGGTTTTTTAAAGATAAGATCTAGCCAGATAGTCCTGGCTGGTCTTGAACTCAAGATCCTACCCTACCGTCTCAGTTTACTGAGGGCTGCAGTTACAGATGTGTGCGGCCAGAATGCACCAGACGTAGCTTTTTAAAGTGGAAATGTGTTAATTATACATATTCCTGGGGTAGGACTGGTATTTTAATATATGCGTACATGATCATCAGCAAGAGCAGAGTGTGCATCACAAACATTTCCATCACTTTGCATTGACAATACTCACTCTGTCTCTTCTAATTATTGTCAGCCACCATCGCTCCACCAGGCTTCCTGACTTTTCTCTTGGAAGCGCTGGAGCTTGAAGTGAAGGCTTTCTGCACGCAAGGTGAGCGCTCACACTGCCCTATGTCCTCTGCTGTCCTCTGTGTGCACACAGGACTTACCTGTTCAGCTACACTCCCAGCCAGCCAGCCACCTTCTTCCTACTAACCCATCCCCTGTCCTTCTCAGCCTCAGCTAACCACCATTCCTCTCTTATTGCTGGGAGACCAACTTTTCACATATTGTGGACCACCATACCCTGAACCGTGGAGGCTGCAGAAAGCTTCTGGAGACACACCTCCAAGGAAAGTATCTGGGCTGGGGGGAGGAGAATGGAGAAGCAGAGCAGAAAGGAGAAAGAGCGGACAGAATGAAAAGGAAAGGAGAGGAGGAGAAAGAGGAGGGGCAATAAGGGAAGAGAACTCTCCCTCCCTACATGAAAACTATACTTTGGTCTGGGCAGAGATATTGGCAATGAGATTCTTAACGAATAACTGAAATAACTTCAGCGGTAATACCGACAGCTGCTACCACACAGGAAAGATGACTTTCTGAAACAAGAGTATATGATGCACAGTGAATTAAAATGGACATTAATGAAAACGAGGATCCCAGCATTTCAGCCCAATTAAATGTTTTCCTTTATAAGAGTTACCATGGTCATGGTGTCCCTTCACAGTGACAGAACCCCTAACTGAGATAGTCACTAAGTCATGAAGTGCATTCCCTATGAGGGAGAAGCAGGCTCTCAGAGCACAGTGTAGACCTCCTATCCAGCCCACCTCACTCTGCTAAGCATGGCAGACACACACTCTGGTTCCCAAAAGCCCTCCAGCTCACTTGACAACTAAATAAATGTACGCCAAACCTACTGTTTTATGGGACAATTTGGAGTGATGGTATAATATTTTTCAGATGCAAAAACTAATGTTGTTGAATTAAGAAAAAAATCTACAGAGGCAAATTTAATCTAATTGAGTGATTAAAAAAGTAATAATTGCTTGAAGGAATATAATGCATGTATAACTTCACTACAGAGCAAATAATTCTATGTTTATTTTAGTAATCAGATAATGACTAGCAATCAGTAAGAGTCTTAAAACACACACACACAGAGCCAACACACGTGTGACAACGTGGATTAAGATCACACAGCATGGCATGGAAATTCTCAGAACCCCGCTGCACAGACTAGCACTCCTCACATTATCTGGGGCAGAGTCTTTTGTTGTCCAAGAACCTGCCTTATTCTAGTATTTTCTGACACTGCTCTTCGCTTAAGTTAGCTCTCTTGGTAGCAAACACAAACACAAGGTATGGAAATTATTCAACCAGGGACTTGATGAGAAATGTTTTCCGGGCAGCAGTGGAGGAAGAGCACACGCATTTCCAGAGACCGAAGCCAAACCTTGTACTGATGCAGTCTTCCAAAGAAACACTTCTCCAGCACCCCTGGGAGGGGCTGTGTCACAGTGTGGCTAATACACAGAGCATGTATTACACTGACTTGTGAAAACTTTCAGACTAAACTGAATTGGGCTGGTTTTTTAAAGATAAGATCTAGCCAGATAGTCCTGGCTGGTCTTGAACTCAAGATCCTACCCTACCGTCTCAGTTTACTGAGGGCTGCAGTTACAGATGTGTGCGGCCAGAATGCACCAGACGTAGCTTTTTAAAGTGGAAATGTGTTAATTATACATATTCCTGGGGTAGGACTGGTATTTTAATATATGCGTACATGATCATCAGCAAGAGCAGAGTGTGCATCACAAACATTTCCATCACTTTGCATTGACAATACTCACTCTGTCTCTTCTAATTATTGTCAGCCACCATCGCTCCACCAGGCTTCCTGACTTTTCTCTTGGAAGCGCTGGAGCTTGAAGTGAAGGCTTTCTGCACGCAAGGTGAGCGCTCACACTGCCCTATGTCCTCTGCTGTCCTCTGTGTGCACACAGGACTTACCTGTTCAGCTACACTCCCAGCCAGCCAGCCACCTTCTTCCTACTAACCCATCCCCTGTCCTTCTCAGCCTCAGCTAACCACCATTCCTCTCTTATTGCTGGGAGACCAACTTTTCACATATTGTGGACCACCATACCCTGAACCGTGGAGGCTGCAGAAAGCTTCTGGAGACACACCTCCAAGGAAAGTATCTGGGCTGGGGGGAGGAGAATGGAGAAGCAGAGCAGAAAGGAGAAAGAGCGGACAGAATGAAAAGGAAAGGAGAGGAGGAGAAAGAGGAGGGGCAATAAGGGAAGAGAACTCTCCCTCCCTACATGAAAACTATACTTTGGTCTGGGCAGAGATATTGGCAATGAGATTCTTAACGAATAACTGAAATAACTTCAGCGGTAATACCGACAGCTGCTACCACACAGGAAAGATGACTTTCTGAAACAAGAGTATATGATGCACAGTGAATTAAAATGGACATTAATGAAAACGAGGATCCCAGCATTCGGGAGGCAGAGGCAGGAGGATCTCTAAGTTTGAGGAAAGCCTGACCTACAGAGAGAATCCCGGGACAGCCAGGGCTGTACAGAGAAACCATATCAAAAAAAAAAAAAAAAAAAAAAAAAAAAAAAAAGGGGTTTTTTATTTTTTACATTATTGCAAGAAGATTCCAGCCCAAAATGGCTAACTCAAAATTTTCATTGCAAGAAAACCGATAAATGATGAATTAAGACAGTGATACAACTGTTTTCTCAAAACCAATATTGTGGCTTACGGGAATACCAGCCTTGCACATAGGTGACTCTCAGATTCTTCTCAGAAAGCCTTCCATCACTTCATCCACACAAATGTGACTTGGCAACCAACAAACCAGTCCAAACCACCTAGCCCAGCCTTACCTTTCACCAGGACCTTGGGGACTTTCGTGTGGCTGGCACAGAAGGCACTGTAGAGCTTGAAGCGGTCAGCATAGTACAGGAAGGAGCCCCCCAGAGAGAACAGCACTTTCTAGAGTAAAGAGAAAACATGTGATAAGTTCACTCCCCTCCTCATGTAGACCCAGCAGAGACGAGAGCAGGGAAATGACACTGTCACACACTCTGCACCAACCAGAGTCTCCAGGCCTGTCAAAGACTTTCTCTGTTCATCAAGGTGCTAGAACTGATTGTAGAAAAAATACTTTGGGTTAAAATAAATTCTATTAATACTGGGTTTTTGTCTTCTCAGTATTTACAGTGGGACTGTTCGATGACCTATGTGAGATGTTTGACTACTGATGAGAAAATAACAGATTTTGGGGGAAGGCAGAAATACCCTGAGTTCTCTCATGAGTTCCTTATTTCGAGACAGAAGGGACACACCAGACAAATGAAGGAAAGGCTTACACCTCCAAAGTGGAGAAGGTATGTCCCTGGTCACTGCCTCCACCTTCTCCAAAGTCCCTCTGTCCTCTGCCAGGGAGTAGATAAGCACCTAAGTGATTCCTATGCAAGAGTCACATTCAAGTGCAGACAGTAGCTCCAGCTAGTCTGCATGGACAGCTGCCCCAAGAGGATCACACCAGGGCACACCTTCCTTGTTAGGAAAGACAGATACACCTGCTGTGGGATGATTTTTATCCCACCCATGCTTTGTGGATGAACAAAGAAGCAAGCCTCAGAAAAACATCTTCCAGAAAGTTCACATGGATCTAGTCTTGCTCAGAGACAGGCTTAGAATTACAACATAGAAGATGAGATGACTCAGCAGTTAAAGGTACAGACCTCCAAAACATGGGAACCCAAGTTCTGTCCCTGGAACCCATGTAAGGTGGTAGGCGAGAACTGACTCCACGGAGTTGTCCTCTGGCCTCCAAATGCTCACCGGGGCATGTGTGCACACACAATAATAATAATAATAATAATAATAATAATAATAATAATAATTGGAATGACAGTTTTTTTAAAAGTAATTAAAAGTTAGGTTTTAAGAAAGGGCTTTCTAACTACACAGTTTATCTGATACAATTTGGAGTAAGTTCAGATAGTTTACTAAAGGGGAAAATATCTACTTTAGACCATACTTAATTGGCATCCACAGTAATCAGAGACCTAAAATCTTGTCCTCATGTTCAACCCTTCCTGTTGCTATAGTTTTCTTGTCACCAGGTCCACCATTTCAGCCCCAAATGAACACATGGGCACTATATTAATTATAAAACTATTGGCCGATATCTAGGGCTTCTTATTGGCTAGCTCTGTCTTAACTATTAGCCAATAACTACTAATCTATGTATTTCTACATGGCCATATCTTACCAGAGAACACCTAGTACATCCTATAATCACGGTCTCTACATGGCATCCCTCTCTGCCTACCTTCCCAAGAATTCTCCTAGTCTTCTAGTCCTGCCTCTATTGGCCAAACTGTTTTATTCATCAACCAATAAGAGAAACATATATACAAAAGGACGACCCCCATCACCGTCCTATACTTCTCAAGTGCCATGGCTGTAGGACTACATACGTACAATATGGCTACCCAAGTCATGATCACAAATCACACAGGAAAATCTGGGAAGAACCACCAGAAAGCAAAACAAAACAAAACAAAACAAAACACCCCTTTGCTTACAGTAACAGTTACTAAGTGTTTCACTATACAGTAACAGATAAAGCAGTATCTCCAGTGTGAGCTGCACAGAATGGGAGGGATTCCCACTCTCTGACTGCAGCTAGCTGCCCAATGCTGCTCACCTACAGGACTTCTGAAGGCCCCACAGGCTAGCGCACACTGCAAATTCCCCAGAGGAAGTTCCATCAGCCTGATGAGAACAAACCTACATTATCGGAATGCAGGACACACTACCTGTGTACGGGAGGTGTGGCAAGCAGGAACTGGCATTCAGGGATGATTCAGTCCTGACTGTAGTGATGGTTTCACAGAGGGGGTGTGTGTGTGTGTGTGTGTGTGTGTGTGTGTGTGTGTGTGTGTGTGTGTGTGTGTGTGTGTGTGTGTGTGTATTCATACACACATACTTTATCAGATATGCAAAATGCTTTGTCAACTATACCACAGCAGATCTTACTTTTAAAAGCACAGGGTGACATGCAAGCCAACACACACATCAACGCGTTTTGTTGATCTGAAATTTGGAAGCAGAAATTCCTACCAGGGAACACCACCCAGGGGAGAGGAAATGAGCCCGAGGGGGAGTAACCCTGACTCAGGCAGGAGTCAAACCTGCTCTCTAAGACTACAAGGATGCTGTCCAACTGGACAGTGATCAGTGTTTCTATCAAGCAAAGTTCCCCAGAACAAAATAAACTGATTTTACTGACAGACCAGAGGGCTAATTGAATTTGTTACTAGATAATGTATTTAACTTGTTACTAACTAATGCAACCTCAGGATCCATGCAGCTTCCAACAGAGACATTTAATGGAGTCAACAGCATCAAACAAGAAAGATAAAAATAAAGTGGTCTCTCCCCACTACTCCCCTGAGGAAGCCTCCCCACCCCCACTGGGAAGTCCTGCCAAGCCCTCAGTACTATGAGCTCCACAGCCTCCCAGAGAACAAAAGACACCTGCGGTGTGACATGGGGGTTCATCCTGACCCACAGGATAGCCCAGCAGAGGCACAAAGGGGCAGCTTTAAGTGGCTTGAGGGTGAGGCTTACCTTGAATTGTTCAACTTTCTCAAGCTTTTCCAAATCAGGGACCAATCTTACTCCATCTTCTAGAGTTTTAAGGAATTCGACTTGAAACTCGACCATTTCAGTTAAATTTCCAAACAGTACATCAAGCTAAAAAATGAAAAAGAATTTAACCTACCCCATATTACAGGAAGGCTCAGAATTGCTATTTGGACCTGAGTGTACGATTTCTGAGTACAATCAAGTCTACTATTACAGGAGACTCATGTTCCAACTTTACACCAAAACTTCACAGGCTGTATCTGACCTGCTACAACCAAATGGCTTTCCAGATGCGCCCAGTGTTAGGGGTGTCACTGTCCCTTCCTTCACCAGCAAGTCAACCCCTCACAATATCAAGGCAGGCCACCATACCTCATCCTGGGTGAGAAAGGTCTCCTTCTGAAGGGGCTTCAGGTATCGCTCCATGAGGCAGTTTAAGTCCTACAAACCAGAAAGACACTTCATTGGCATACCTAGAGTCTACAAGGCCCTGCGGGCGGAAAAGACAAACACTGTCCTGCTAGGGAGCCAGAGATAGAAATCCATTAAGACAGCAAGCAGGCGGCCCATGGGCCCAGCTGAAACTGATCCTTTAACTCACCATGTACCCTAAGAGCAGGCTTAGGAGCTCCATATAGGAATGGGCATGATTGTGTCCCAACAAAACTTTATTTTCTAAAACAGACAGCAGGTTGGATACGGCCTGCGGGTCACAGTATGCTAGACTCAAAATATTTAAGACTGATTTAGACTAAAATGTAAGTGGTTAAAAGCTGATTGCCGCTCCTGGTGGCATAGGCTGGAATTCCAGTATGTGGGAGGCTGAAGCAGAGAATCTTGAATTCAGGCCAGCCTGGGCTCCAGAGTGAGAGCCCGTCTTAAAACAAAACAAAACAAAACAAAACAAAACAAAACACAAAATAAAACACCCTAGATCTCATTACTGTCAACTGGGGTGAGAACAGAACAATTAAAAACACACAGAAAACAGACCCTACCCTTCTACCTAGACTCACATTAGGTTACTAAAAGACTTCAATCACTCCATTTTCATGAGTGTTCAAAAACTTTGACTGATTATAGAGTTTTCTTATCAGGACTCATCAATTGGGATCCTATATTTGAAAAGAAACTGAATTCATTGTGTGCCCGTGCATTCCATACAAATTCTATATGTGTGCCTGGAGAAAGATGTCAGGTGTTTGGTTCAATCACTTTCTACCTATTCCCTGGAGAGAGGGTCTCTTACTGAACCTGGAGCTCACCATGTTTTGGGCTAGGCAGTCAGCAAACTCCTGGGATCTGCCTTTCTCTGCCACCAAGAGATTCTAGTTTTGGACACAGCAGTCAGCAAACTCCTGGGATCTGCCTTTCTCTGCCACCAAGAGATTCTGTTACAAACATGTGCAGCCAGTGTGGGTTTTGAGATTTGAACTCAGGTCCTAATACTTGTACAGCAGGTACTCATATCCACTAAGCTATCTCACCAGGTCCTAAGCTCAGATTTCGTAGTAGCTTATGATATTTTTAGAAAAGCCAGAAAGATGGTTTAATATTCACCACCAATTATATAAATATACAAAATAACAATTAAGAATTGGCCTGGAGAGATGGCTCAGAGGTTAAGAGCACTGACTGCTCTTCCAGAGGTCCTGAGTTCAATTCCCAGCAACCACATGGTGGCTCACAACCATCCATTATGAGATGCCCTCTTCTGGTGTGCAGATATACATGGAAGCAGAATGTTATATACATAATAAATAAATAAATAAATAACATTTAAAAAAAGAATTTATATTTATCAGTGTTAATTAATATACTAGCTCCATAAGAGAGAACAAGACCTTAACATTTGTGCTTTGACCTTGGTGTAGTTAAAACTCAGGGAGTGACTGTGGTGGTTTGAAAGAAAATGCCCCTCAAAGGGAGTGGCACTATTAGGAGGTGTGGCTTTGTTGGAGGAAGTGTGTCACTGTGGAGGTGGGCTTTGAAGTCTCCTTCGCTCAAGCTTCACTCAGTGTGACACTCAGTCCACTTCCTGTTGCCTGCACGATGTAGGACTTTTAGCACCTCCTCTGCCTGCTTGCATGTGCCCATGTCCCACCATCAGTATAGTGGACTAAACCTCTGAAACATGAGCCAGCTGCAATTACATGTTTTCTTTTATAAGAGTTGCCATGGCCATGGTGTCCCTTCACGGCAATAGAAACCCTAACTGAGACAGTGACCCGCCACTCTTTCCAGACGTACTTTCACATAGGTGCGCTCGGTCTCCAGCAGCTCACAGATCACCTTTCGCAATTTATCGGCATCTGACAGTTGTCGCGTGGTTGCCAGCTGAGGGCCTGTGGCATCCTGAGGAGACGGGCTCGAGTCGGAGGTGTTCATCTCGTGCAGACTCCGGCAAAACGCAGCAACCTGTTCTGTGCTCTGTGGGGCAAAGAACATGGAGTTGCCTCTTAGCCGCCTCCCCAAGGCATTTCTCAACTTAAAGAATTGTCACGGATGTATTACCTCTCACGTTTCCCAAACTGTTCCACACTTAAGTTCCCTGAGTGCTGATCACGCAATACTGAACGAGAGTACAGGAGTGTTCACCACCCATCAGGCACACTAGTCTGAGGTATTTAATATTCACAGGGTGTGAGAAGGGCAATTACAACTCCCACTGAGCAGTTGAAACAAAGGAGGCCCAGAGAGGTTAAATAACTCATCCAGGTCACACAGCTAGGAAGAGGAAGTGGCAGTGGCAGACCTGGAATTTGAACCACCCAAGCACATTTCAGAGCCTGTGATCCTGGGGAGCGCTGGGAGAGGGTCGGAGGGAGATGCTACCAGGAAGGAAACACGGGCCTCAGATATGCCTGACCAAGTGCTCTTAGGTCACCAAGCTACACCCCCAGCCCAAGGCCGATGTTTTGAACCATCCATGAGCAGCTGACAAATGAGAAGGTAGGAGGGGTTAATGACATAGAACACAAAGAACAACACTCGGCCATCAGATGCGGCTGTGCACACTAGCTGCTTACTCAGCACGCTTGAACACAATGTCTATGTGTGGTCATTAAAAACTCTGACATTTAAGACACATGCCTGGATCTTTGGTAAGTTCTGCTGTTTCCTTTGAGCAGAAGGCGGCTAACCCTGAGTCAGGCCCTGTGGACCTACCTCAGCCTTCACTGCCCCAGGAGGACATGATTGAGGGGAAGGCTGCAATGATGGCCCAAGATTTCCTCACCCAACAAGTTTGGCTTTCTACAGTCCCAACTTATGGAGTGATGATATCTGACGGGTGTTGAAAACTGGTGGGCTCGGTGGCTTACCTCAGTGAAGCCCGGGATCTCCTAGTCATCCCAATCCTGCAGCTCGGACCCAAGTCAGGGTCTACACTGGGATGACAAGGTACTGGCATTTGGCTTGGGGTTGTCTATAAAGATAAGGCCTCGCTATATAGCCCTGGCTGCACTGTAACTCAGTATGTAAACCAAGCTGGCCTTGAACTCGCAGACATCCACACCTATCTGTTCCCTGAGAGCAAGGGTTAAAGGTCTCATGGAACTGATTGCTGCAGGCACTGTTTAGGAACAAGGAACCTTACATTGTCTGTCAATGCTCATCAGTAATATTGGGTGGATACCTTCTAGTCCTCTTCAGTCCTTCTACTGTCTGTTTCAATCCTAAACACAAAAGTTCCCTTTTCAGGAAACGAATACTTTCTTTATCATCTAGGATGAACATTTTTTCCTCAAACAACAGCTGCTCCACAGAGCTGCAAGTCAAGACTGATAAGGCAGGAAAAGTAGGACCTAGCGTATTCCACAGGGTGGGATTTGAATACAGTGAAGGGTGATTTGCAACGCAAACGAGAGCAAAGACAGTTTCTCAGACCCCTCACCACCACCAAAAAAAAAAGATGCACTAGGGGCATCAGGCAGGAAAGCCCAGAGCCTCCACTGCGATTCACACGGCTATCATTCTAATTCTCTTGTGATTGCCATGGCTTATTTACAGCTGCTGCTAACTCCAGTAACTGCCAGAGAGAGCATGCCGTCTGTCATGGGTACTTTGCAGTATCCTCCAGGAAACTGTGGGTTTCAGATGTGTAATGTCCCCACAAAGAATCTTCACTTAGGTGATGGAAAACCCACCCACATGGACTGCACTGTACGATGTGTGGGCTTTCTCTCACTAAGATTGTTAGAAAAAGGAGAAAACACCTGCTTACATCAAAGCCTGTCTGTGCAGAAACAAAGGAACCAGGTAGGCACCACTTCACTGACTTGGAGTCATCTTGATACAGTCATAACTGTATGGGCTTTGTCATAACAACAGGAGCAAGGGAACAAATAATCTAGTTTAACAAAATGTAAATGTCTTCTTTTAATGATCTAATGACAATTAAGACAGGCAACAGGCAACGTTTTCTAATGCGGTTATGACGGGGGTGGGGTGGGGAGTATATAAAATGTCTTTCTGGAGAAAATCTCACTGTCTGAAGGCGGTCAGAGTTGGCAAGCAATGCCCTGCCCCCATCCTATCACAGACTCCCCTGGGCTGCTCTGCTTTGCTGCCTGGTCAAGAAACCTAACAAACAAGGGAGGGCCTGGCACCTTTGCTTACACAATGCTTCTGTAACAATTCCATCTGCAACCACAGTTGGCTGTCCTTCACACACAACTCCCATGACAAACACAGCCATCACCAGAATCCAATTATCGGCAGGGTACCCTTTCTTGTACTTTTATCATTGAGATGACTACCCATGAGACCTGGTATATTATTCCAAGCAGACCCCTCAACTGTACGGAAGGCAAGCCTTGTAGGAGGTCCTGACACACAGCGGAAGCAGGGCATTCCAAAAAGTCATGTCCTGCCTGGAGGTGTCACTGTTTTGGTTAAACACAAAAGGTATGGAATAGGAACTCTGGGTTTTTGGTTTCTCTGTGGTATCATGAATGCCTAGCGATAACTATTTTCAAGAAGGTGAACAGGGGAGCTGCCTCGGTCTTTGTGAAGTGGCCTTGTAGCTGGAGAAGAGCCACTCTGGGTCTCCATGCCCAGCGGACTCCCTGGATGCCCCCCCTGAGCAATCTGTGTTCTCCTTTCTTCTGATAGTACCCCAAATCTAGCCCTAAACATATGTGTGTGTATATATACAACACACATATCTAACACATAGCTATACATATACCACAGACACACACTCATAATAGCTATGTGAAGTGTGGTGATCTGACTTTACCTTTGGGGCCGCTTTCTGAGGTTTCAGTTATCATCAGAAAATGCTAAGATTTTGTTTTGGCTTTTTCAGGGGAACCCCTGTTTACAAAACCTTTATTAAAGTATTTATATTTTATCTTCTTACATTGTTACAGGTTTTATGCACAACTTCTCTATGCATTAGTCATTACTAATCTCTTACTGTGACTAATTTAACATTAAGTTTTATCAATGACATGTATGTGTGAGAAAACAATGCAGTACACATAGGAATTGGTACTATCCACCTATCCATGGCTTCTGGCATCCACCGAGGGTCTTAGGGTGAATCCCCTACAGATAAAGGGAAACTGTAAAACATGCCCTTCTGGAGAAAATCTCAGACATACAGAAGACAGAGCTGACAACCAGGGCCCTGCCCCTTTAGTTTCTTGGGGACACCTAAAAGCTCTATGGGGCTCCCTTGGGGCTCCCCTTGGAGGGTTCCGTCTCAACCGCCACCCCTCCTCATTAGACCCATCCCTAAGTATTATCTGAAGCTGAATAGAATCCTTCCCAACACTATGCTCCCCAGTTCAAGGAACACACTTTGGGGTGCACCCCCAGTCACTGGCTCGAACAGGTGCCCTTTTTTCTCTGCCAATACATGTTACTTGAAAAATAATAAAACAAGCTGGGTGGTGGCGGCGCACGCCTTTAATTCCAGCACTCGGGAGGCAGAGGCAGGGGCATCTCTGTGGGTTTGAGACCAGCCTGGGCTACAGAGCTAGTTCCCGGGCCGCCCCCAAAGCCACAGAGAACCCCCCCCCCAAAAAAGAAATTAAACAGTTTCACAGAATTAATAAGTTATAACATGTATAGACATCACAAGTGAGCTGTTTATATTTGGAGAGATTTTAAAAGGTGCTATGAAGCTTCAGAGCTCTGTTTGATTAAATATTACTCCAACATATCCTTTGAGGCAACTATGAAATGCAGGGCCCCCTTGACATGTCTCTAAGCTACTGAATTCATACATTGTTGTCCAGTTAAATCTCCAGTCCCCTCCACTGCCTTCCACTGTGGTTAAACTAATTAGGTCAAAGTCAGCCTGGACCCTGTCCGTGGTACCTGCAAAGGTGCAGCATAGAGAAAGAACTGAACATTCCAAGGCTGGCTGTAGGATGTCAATGG